TTATGACAACACTGACAGACTGCGAAAACAGACTGACCGATATTTGTACTCATCAGATAGTCCTTGGTTGCGTTGTCAAAATCCATGTCCAATATGTCATGGTTGGTGCATGTGTATCAAAAAAAAGGGAGACCACAAGTTCGAGTAGCTGGAACAAAGAACACCGGTCGCAAAACCGGTCCAAAACCGCTCGGAGACCTCCCTATTTCAAAAAGGAACACCGATCATAATTAGAGGATATTAGAGGTCAAGTTAGGGTCCTATGGTAGCCATTGCCCTTTGTTCCGTTCGGCCGGCGTCCTTGTTCCGTTCGGCTTCGGCCAGCGCGGAGCCCCGACCCCCAAGGTGTCGGAGGTGACGGGGAAAGCGATCGATTGGTACGCGGATGAACCTCAGGATGGCCACTTGGCGCGTGCACTTGGCGTTTGGCAAGTGGAAGGTTAATGCACAAAAACCACAGGGGGGTTCCAGGAAAAAGATATGGAAAACTGCTGAAAGCAGTATGGTATTAATTATTGGCGTAATTATTGATATGTATATATAGATTTATTACTTGCTGGCTTGAGACTTGGAAGAAGCGCCATTTGCTAAACTGATTCCTCTCAGAACGATATACTCAAACGATCCTGCACGATGGCCAAGATACATCACTTAATGCCGCATGCAGAGGGAGTGGTGGCTTGGGAAATGGTCGTGCCAAGCTCGTGAAATTGCGTCATACGTCATTCAGAAGCAAACTTGTGCCTTTCTCCCAGTTCCAGTTGCATTGCCAAATGGCCCCTGCACCGAGAGGAAAACACTGATTCTTGCTCGGGGCGTGGAAGCTGGAGAGAGAGAGAGAGAGATTGTCCTTCTCGGCATTTTACTTCTAAATAACATGCATCATGCTTGTGTAAATGCGGCGTGTCGCTGGTGAGCGGTACGATTGGTGGGACAGTCGCTGGCGAGTGGTACGATTGGTGGTGGCAGTCGCACTAGGTGTCACTCCTAGAATAGGCTGTATGTTGAAAACCACGACTGCCATTCCGCATCGGAAGTCGGGAAGACTCTTGCCCCACAGTTGTTTTGCCACACCATACCTCTCGCAGAAAAAAGATCCGTTCACCGCGAGGATTCCTCATCTAGTTCCACCTGTAGTTTCGCCCCACAGTCAAGCGAAGAATGACTGCACTGTGGCAAGCGTTGGGGCAAGCATCGAAACACTAGCATGCAATCACAGAAAGGGTATAGGGTCCTTTTTTATAGCAAAGCAAAGATGCTTTCGTGACCTAAGTTCCACTACCCAAACCTCCAGGCAAACTCATTGTTGAACTCTCAGTCAAACTCAGTTTCTGAACGAGTCCTCTTCGTCCGAGGATATGAGGTGGTTCGGATCTATGGCGAGAACACGTTGGAACTGAAGGGGATGCCTTTAGGCAAGACCCCGGAGTACATCCAGGAGCGTATCGCGAAGACTTATCTACACCTCAGTCTTTCAAAGATATTGCGGGAACGAAACAAACATCCTATATTTGAAGTGAATGCTTGCTTGGAACATGAAACAAGTTAGTTACATTTATTTGCTACATGATATATCATGATATAACTGTTTTGGTATATTACTAGGCTTCGGAACTACCTTGTTTTTAAGGGATACTTTTGGGTGATAATGATGGTGATTTTGTCAGATTAATCAAAACCATCAAGCCAATGTACCATTTACCCCAAGAGTCACTCGCGTTAGGTTCACAACCAGATGGAAAAAAAACTGCCGATGGCCGGTTCCTTTAAAGACTTGTAGTACGCACGGTGACCACCATCTTTCAGAACAACTGCCGACGCTGAACATCGCTGAACGGTGTGTCATGTCCGACACATGTTTGAATGTTGGTGAAGAAGGAAGCAAAGTCACCAAATAGTGGCCAATGTTTACTGGAAACCAACAGACACTTTGACAGCGACAGCTGGCAGTGCGAGTTGTTTCATTTCCATGGCTACGCGGCTAGAAGCAACCCAAAATATGCAGTATAGAAACAAAACAAGCAAAAGAAAACACAACCTCAATAGGTACCAAGCTGGCTTTATCCACAATTTTTGCTAGGTAGAAAGAACATGAAAGAACATAAACCTTGTACCCGCTGTGCAGAACCACATGGACTCCCACATGCAATTCTACCCCAAAAGGCATCGAAAAAGCCGCAGGTCTCAGATTTCACCACGCTTTCTTTCAGAACGTTTTCCTAGCGACCAAGTCGCTTTTCTTTGGACTTGTTTGCGGCCCTTGCTGCAATACAAGACAGACATTACTACTGGATTCGATCACTTGTTCGTTCTTTTTGTGTGTTCATTTTTCCTTGAGACCCTTGTGTGTGTCATGTTCTTTCGTCTTCTGAGCAGTCTTACAGGTTGAGTCTTCCGATCCACTCCACAGGAGCGGCTGCGGCGCTTCTTTGCCAAGTTCGGCCCTGTGCGCCGATTTGATCCGTGAAATTCCTGGAATGTGCGTACGAAAGCGTTTCAACCCAGATATTCATGTCTTTTGCTTAAATCCACCTGGAAAGAATCAACGAGGCCGAGCAAATGAAGTTGGCTTCCGGGGTTGCGTGTTGACTTGGTAAGGAAGATTGAGGAAGAATCCTTACCACTTGTTTGATTGCAGTCATGCCGAATCAGTTGCATTCAAGCCGAATCAAGCAAATTAGAGTCCTAGAGTTCATCACCCTTTGAATCACCAAGTCAGACATTGTGCCGTTTACATTCAGTTGGAAATTTCTGCAAAACTTGCCGTCGCTTGTTGTGTTTTTGCAGCACATTGTCAGTGAGTTCAGTATCGAGTTTGAGTCAGAGACGTAATCCAGTTGCTCCTACAAGACCTTTGCTGGTGGTCCTTTTCAGCATGGTCTACTCGCTGAAAGCCAGTGGCTCAAAATAGGGAAAGATCCTGCAAACATGAAATGCATGACAAGGCCTTAGTCGTTTTCTTTAATTACGGCTTTCATGGAGTTTGTTCACATCCATGGCGCTTCAAACGGATTTGGCCATGGGTCATAACGTATACAACCTTGAAGGATCGAAACCTCGGATTGCGTGAAAAGGGCCTTGAGGTCTAACCCCGAGGCACGAGTTTTCATGCCAAGTCGATGAACACTTATGACAGCGTCAAAACGTGGGAACAATCCTCAATCCAACAAGGGAGCCAAAGACTTGCTCCCAAGCCGTTGGGCTTAATTGATCGGCGCAATGCTCATAAGAACGGCTCCAGTGGAGGATTCAACGTGCCCCTTCGCAAAGATTCGCAAAGGGGTGAATGAAGGTTTCTTTGGAATGCGTTTTTGAAATTCAAGTCGTGTGTTTGAGGTAAAATGATGGGGGGGTTGGATGAGACGCCAAGCCTACTCATAGGCTGCAAGCAGGAAGATTCCTTTTTTTCCGAGACGGAGTAGGTGGCATGTTCACCCTGGGTAACTCAGATCCCACATGACCGACTGCGCTTATACTCAGAGCGCGGTCCATGAAGCCGAGGCTCCTAAGACATGCATCAGTTTGACGAACTGGATGATGAGTGGAGATATGTCACCGCCGAGAATCGTGAGGCGCCCTTAAGCCGCGCGTGGCGCGTGGCGCTGAAACCAACGGCCGGTCGATACACCGGCCAGTCACGGCCAAAGAAGCCTGCCCCATTATGATATAACTTGTCTGTTTGTTTGGGATATCACGAAGGCTCGCTGGTCCAAACGAAATGGCTCAGCACCAAGCTCAAGAACACGGAAGAAATTTGAAATAGGAATCTAGAGTCAATCCATATCTTCACAGCAAGAATGTCAGTACAGGTTTAACTGGTAAAGGTCGGGTAAATGTCTCAATCATCACTTCAGATTCTTTGACGAGCATGGTTCTGATCGGGAGACCGCAGTCAGCCATTTGGTCAGAGGTGAATCATTGTTCACAAGACCTTGGAGACGGCGCAGTTCCTTGGGAACGACAACTGTATCAGATCATGTTGACTTAGTATGACTTAGTGTTCAACGCAGGCATTCAGGACAGCCTGCAAAGAACAAACCGCGGATACATCCCAAAATACCAGTAACATGGGCATCACTACTCGAAACAAGTGCATCGCTACTAGTAGCTAGAAGCTACTATAGTAGTAATGCCCTTGTTTCTAGCACTAGTTACTAGTAGCTCCACAACATCTCATTGTTTTTGCTGCAGTTTGTAGGAGCTGTATCGTCTTGCCGGTGCGAAGACCGCCAAAGAGTTCCGGGAAGCAGCTTGGGCTGAGAGGAATGGATTAGAGGCTGCGCAGCTTGCGCTATTCGGGAAGGGACTCTTTGGCTCGGAACAGTCTGAAGGAGTGTTTTTTGTGAAAGGCGCACAAATTCCCCAACTGGTGAAGAGATGTCTATTCGTGCTGGCATAGAAAGCGTCAGTGCTGAAAAAGCAAAAGCAGTCAGCTACAGACACTTCTCAGGGACCTCACCTGGTGCGAATGCGAAGCAAACTTGGAATAAGTTGATTGTTACACTCTTTCTGACCTTACTACACTGGAAGCAGTGTTCAAAAAAATTGGTGGTTTCCAGTGGTTCCCATGCAGAGACTTGCGCAACCTCTCTTCAACCGTGTCGCCCTGGATGGAGACCTTGTACACGTCCTCTATCCCGGTCGAGCTTGGCTGAGGAGGAAGCTGTTTTGGCCAAGGAGAACCAGGAACGCCTCAGATTGAGCGACCAGAAGGCGCGGTGTTTTGAGACCCGAACGTCCCTGCTGAGTTGAAGAACCCAGTAGACCGAGTGGGCTGCCAGTGGGAGTTTGGAAGTGGTTCATTGGGTGCCTTTGGACAGTGTCACATATGAGTTCTTAGGCTTCCCCATAGCGAAAGAACCCGATCACCATGCGTCCAACGATCCATGCCACACACCCTCCATATCCCTCCAGCCTTTTTCAAAGGCCGCCTACGCCTCACCCGCGGCGACCAGACCAACAAGGAGCCACTGATCCGCCCCGCCCGCCCGTGCGGCGAGGTGCAGGAGTTTCTGGACTTTCCGCCGGAACCTCCATCACCTTTGGAGACCTATCGAGATGTGGTGATGCGCGCCATGGTGCAGGCCTGCATTCGGGCCTTGTATCTTCCCAGCGGAGTGGCTCCATGGCAGATGAAAAAATGGGGCAAATCGTTTTGGGGTTCTTGGTTTTGAGGGGGGTTGTGTTGTGTTTGGAGGATGCTAGGGATTTGGGCCATGGAAAATGAACTTGCCAGACCTGTGGGATGTTGCTTATATGAATGGTTTCATCGTATGTTTCCTCCCTCTCATTCACCATCCGCTAGGGTGTCGACATTGGAACAAGCCGCAAGGGGCAAACATTCCAGGTTTGCTGGCACCGAACTCGAAGGAGCTTTCATATGGAACATGACCACCCGGTATAGATGACATGATTGCCCATGCAGATGTCATCGCAAAATTATCCCTCCTTGGCTTTACCTCTACACTCTACACAAGATATGGAATATTGGTCCCACACCAGGTGCAGTATGCCCATCGATGCCTGAGGATCCTTTGTCAGCCGAAGAGCGTGCCTTGCTGTCGGAGGAGATCTCCAACGAACCGATTTCCCACCCGCCAGATCCAGCGACCAGCGCACCCAGCACCGCTCGTGCGACGGGTGCACCGATGGCGCCCAATGCACCCACCGGTCTCGTCACCCCCCCCGGCGATCCTCGCGAACGCGACGGTCCACGCGGAGCCGAACGAGCCGGAGCTGGAGGTGATTGAGAGACCGGACACCGAGTGCCTCGGAAGACACGGACCTTTGCGAAGAGAGAAGGGGGAAACTAAAGGGGGTGTTTGTTGAGTGCGACTCCTTTCAGACTCCCAGTGTTTGCCAAGTTTGGATGTGGATCACATTTCTTCACGGGAAGTTGCGAAAGCATCCGAAACATCCGCAAAGAGCAATTCTTGTGATCAGTGTCTCAATGACTGTCCAGAGAAAAGTCAGGCTGAAGTTGTGGCATTACCTTTCATTCCTGTCATACATTTACATTTTGATGTGAAATATCAGCTCCGGTTTGACCCCAGCTGTGCCAGCATCGCAACCCAAAAAACATTCAAACATATTCAAAACACGTGGACCGTCCATTTGGATCACACCACCTTGATTTGTCCCGCTACATGGCGCATGAGCCAAAAATAGAAAACGTGGACCGTCCAACGGTCCGGCGCCAACGGTCCGGGTCCGTCTCTGAAAATGCGTTTCTTTCCCACATGAGTAGACCTGGGTTGCCTCAGGCGGGAAAGCAAGCGGAAGAGGACCGAAGGGACGTGTTTTTGATGTTTTTTTGTTTGGGGGTTTCGGAAGGGGACCTAAGTCTTTAGGATTTGACCGGCGAAGCCTTGAACCATCTTGAACCTGCATTGAACACCCGTGAACTTGGGCAAGTTCTCGTCGTTTTTTCGTATCTCGTTTGTGTGGTTATGGATGGTTATGGCGATTTGTTTTGGGGCTATCATTCCACGACCCAACGTGCGCACTGTGATCACGGGGTATTCTCGATGTTTCCCTTTTAGATGATCCTGCTAGGCATTCGAGTCATTGGAACATTGCCTTCCCTCTGAACTGAAGATTTGACCCTTTTTAGAACGTGAATTGTGTGGTGGTTGTGAGACAGCTCGATTCCACTTCACACCACTCACTCAGCATCTCAGCATTCTTCTATAGTCTCTATATGTCTCGGTGCCACCGAGACGTACGACTGCAGGTGATTGACTTCATGAGACATCTTCGGAATCGTGAGACAGGCATATGGCATGTCAAGTCACCCGGGCATGCCCAACCCTTCGGAGGTTCAACGATTGCCGAATTGAAGGTGCGAAGTTGGCTTCGATCAACGGCAAATATTCAGCACAGGAACCCAGTTCGACAGTGTCGGTTCCTTGCCAATTGCCAAGGCCAGAAGATGCTAGACTGCTGTTTTGCGGAAGCACTGTGAAGCAGTGTCCAACATTGTCCAACTACTACGGGCCTTTTTTTTTCCATAAGTTTGTATAGGGGTTGCTACTGTATGCAGACTGTTTTGAGGTTTGTTCCATGCTGGTGTCCTCCAATCGCCTAAAGAGCATCTCTCTCTCTCTCTCTCCCTCTCTCTCTCTATCTATTTGAGGCGTTGTTGTTCGTGTGAAACGGCCTTTGAAGGTCTTTGTGGTTGGATTCTGATTGGACGACCTCAAACGGGATGCGAGGTTGTGAAGGGCCTCTTCCATGGCCGTCATCGCTGGCAGAAGCTAGGAGTACAGGGCCTCAGACACGATCGGCGGTGTGTGGGAAGAACATGGAAGAACCGTTTTTTGGGTATATAAAGGTGTTTGAAGCATCAGTCGGACGCTGCCGC